ATTAATGGATTTAAAACTAGAGGTCGTATTTGCTGATATTATAGGTCCTAAAAAACCAAGTGTGGGAGGTGCTCCTTATATATTAAGTATAATGGATCATTATTCTAGATATGGTTTCTGTTATTTAATGAAGAGTAAAACGGAAACATATCAGAATTTCTTTAATTGGTTGAAGTTTGCAGAAAGAAAAACTAAAAGGAAACTAGTAACTCTTGTAACTGAATAAATTCCAAAATAGACTGAAGATGGCAGGTGTAGAACATAAAAAGTCTGCACCATATAGGCCACAACATAATTCCTTTATAGAAAGACGAGGCCAAGCAATACAGGCAATGGCTCGTACTATGTTGTCGGATTCAGGATTACCTGAGAATTTGTGGGGAGAAGCAATAATGTGTGGTAATCATATATTGAATAATGTTGTTAACTCAACAACAGGTGAATTACCATTCACACGGTGGCATGGTAGAAAACCTGACCTAAGCTACATGCACACATTTGGAGCACCAGCATGGGTGCATATTCCTACACAACTGAGACATAAGGGACAGCATAGGGCTAAAAGATTATTTTTTGTAGGTTACGAATCTAACCATAAATCTTACAGGTTCTGGGAAGAGGATACAACTAGAATTTACTGTAGTGCTAGTGCACAATTCCTGGAACATGTAGGATGGGAAAAACTGGAGCAAGATTCGAATAAAGATGTAATTATAGAAACCTACAAAAGACCAAACCACCATATCAGTAATAAGAAAAGTCCAATTAAAGAGGAAGTAAAGGAAGAGCAAATAGGACCAAAACAGGAAGAAATAGATAACCAGGAACAGGTGATAGATAAAAGTCCACCTGTAAGCCCTGTACTACCTAGGCGGTCAACACGTGAAAGTAGACCACCTGATAGGTACCAAGCAAGTGTAGTTTGCCAGGTTAGTAAAATTCCAACTACTGTGGAAGAACTAAAAATGTATCCTGCAAAGGATCAAGGGAATTGGCATACAGCAATGCAGAAGGAACTGAATTCATTAAAACAGATGGGAGTCTATGAGAATGCTAAATTACCTCCAGGTGAAAAGTCCATTGGATGCAAATGGATATTTAAATTAAAAACAGGTAAAAATGGGACTGTTACCCATAAGGCTAGGTTGGTAGCTCAAGGATTTAATCAAACTGCATGTGATTATGATGAAGTGTTTGCACCGAGTCTAAAAGCAACAACCTTGAGAGCAGCTTTAGTGTGGGCAGCTAAGAAAAACTATATCATAAATCATTTAGATGTAGAAACTGCCTATCTGCATGCACCATTGCAGCACACTATATACCTAAAGAAACCTGTAGGGATTAAGGATGATAAAACTAATAATGACTGTTGGAAACTTAAAAAGAGTCTCTATGGATTAAAACAATCTGGTTACGAATGGAACCAATATATTGTTAAGGAGTTAAACAATATAGGGTTTAAAGCAGGTTTAGCTGATCCATGTTTATTTAAAAGAGAGACAAATGGAATAGTGTCATTATTATTGTTGTTTACAGATGATATTGCTTTAATTACAAAAACTAATGAAGCTACTGAAATAATATCATTATTAGGTAAGAGGATAAAATTAAAGCAATTAGGAGAGATAAAACAGTATCTAGGATTGACAATAAATAAAACCAATGGTGGCTATAAGATATCTCAAGAGGATAAGATTTCTCAATTACTAAAAACATATAAGATGGAACTTTGTAAACCAGCAAAAACTCCAATGAGTCAGGAATTTTGCCGGACTGATGCTCAGAGTTCAAAATTCGATAAGACTATCTATCAGTCGCTAATTGGCAGTCTATCATACATTAGTAATTGGTCAAGGCCAGATATTGCCTATAGCATTAATCAATTGGCTCGATTCAACGCTGAACCCGCTGAACGACACTGGCAAGCGGCAAAACGTATCTTAAGATATCTTAAAAGGACAATGCACTATGCGTTGTATTTGGAGCCAAAAGATGATTTGATTTTAAGTGCATATGCTGATGCAAGTTTTGCAACAGATATAAACACTAGGAAATCAACTTCAGGAATGGCTATACTATTAGGAAAAGCTTTGATTGGTTGGAGGTCAATTAGACAGCAACACATAAGTGTGTACACAATGGAAGCAGAATTTTCATGTTTATCTTTATTATGTACTGATTTAATTCTGTATAAACAGTTGTTGTTGGATATGGGATTAACTGTTAATGATTCCATTGTAGTGTATGAGGACAATCAAGCAGCCATACAGATGGCTACAAATATTGCTGTAAAAACGAGATCTAAGCATACAGATCTTAGATATCTGAATGTAAGGCAATCTGTAAAGGATGGTTTAATAAGATTGGAATATTGTATGACTGAACAAAATATTGCTGATCAGTTTACAAAAGCCCAAGGTGCAGTCAAACACAAAGAGAGTTGTGATGACTATGGGTTAAGGTTGTAAATAGATATATATATTATTATATTACCCAAAAGGGGAGAATGTTAGGAATAACATAGGTTACCTAACGTAGTTTGGGTAAAATACTATATATAAACTATGATTGTAAGTTTAAGTGTGTGTCACTTTAAAACTGCAAAGCATGTAATTTTGGGTGCGGTGTGAAACCACCATAAGAGGGAGCAAGAGAACCTGATTGATTGCTGACAATTACTGGATTGCATGGATTGATGTTTTGTTAACTACGTGTTTCCCCTACTGCTGAGTTGCTGAAGGAAGAGAGGAGTTTTTGAGTTCTTCATATCTCTACTGCAAGGAGATATATTACTGGACTGATATTTGTAAGTTTACTGACCTCTCTTTTTCGACACTGGAATTTGCAACTGAATAATCCCTGGACGGACTGAACTAGTGAATGATATATGGACTGTTTGACTATGCTATAATTCTTATTGGAATAAAACTATTTAATTAGCACTGTGTATCTGTTTTACTGAGTGTAAGCTACAAAAACGTTTATCTCACATATTTTGCCTGCCTGCCTGACTGCTGTGCAGATTCTGCTAGGGTGTATCCCTAACAGTATGTATTTATGTGTATATATACACACACACATATATATACACACACACACATATACATATACATGTGTATATATATGTTTTGTTAAGTTTTTGCGGGTACTTACATGTATGGTATTCAGCTTTGTTCGGGTATTTTCCCATGTCATTATAGTTGTGCTTTTAAAGTTGTAGCAACGTTTCAGCCGAATCTCATCTGCCATCATGAGGCTTCTGTATTGTGTTTGTCTGTATTGTGTTCGTCTGTCAGACGAACACAATACAGAAGCCTGATGATGGCAGATGAGATTCTGCCGAAACGTTGCTACAACTTTAAAAGCACAACTATAATGACGTGGGAAAGGCTTTATAATTTCATTCTCTTCAATGAAGCCGTATAACTCAGGTCTTTTTCTTATTCTATGCCTACACTTGGGGGGTTTGGGGATCAAATTTACATCAAACAAATCCCCATCAGAGGATACAATGGATTTTGCTGTGGTTTTAAAAACATCTTTGGAATCAGAGCTAGCCATCTTCAAGACTGCCAGAATTAAATTGCTAGCTGTTCAGGGCTAGCTGCGCAAATTCTGCTGCCCCCTTGCAAATGACCCGTCCTGGACTCTTACGCACGCCCAGAATCACTGGGGGTATGTAATGCCGGGGCATGTCCCTAACCTTAACCCCTCCTTTCTACTAGCAGATGTGTTATGTCCCTGGAACTTGCCAAAGTTCCCACCCAGGTCCGTTCATGCTGCGGGGGCGTTTGCTGCTCCTCATTGGCTGGCTTCCCTCGACAGCCGGCTATAAAAGCCAGCTGTAGGGTTCGGTCAGCCGCTGTTCGTTGGAAGCCTGCTCCAGGCAGAGCTGACACGTTCAGTCCTTTATTTCCCAAATAAAGTCTTGTTGCATTTATGCCCTGGTCTAGCCTCTCATTGCTCAATCTACAACAAGATGCCTTGCGTGGGTGCAGAATCACGGGAGGGTATGTCATGCCTGGTCATGCCCCGAAGAAGTCCTAGCCCCTTTTCTACTAGCAGATTCAAACAGGCATACCCGGCGCTGTGTTCCTGACTGCCTGTCTCTTGTGGGCATTTTTTAAAAAATTCCTGTTAATATTCTTTGTCTTTTGCTGTAGGGGTAGAATAAAATTTATTAAGCCTGTGCTTCAAACGCTTACATGTATATGTGGATTTGAGGGGGGTTGCAATTGCCAAAATATATGTCTTTAGATTTTTACAAAGGTAAAAACCAGCTGTGGGTTTTAAAAGGTCTGTGGGTTCCCCGCCCCCCCACACACATTCAAGGGGGGTTTGACTGCAGACCCTGGCTGCCTTTTAGGTGCTTCTTTTTTCCCTAGCTTTTGAGGTATTGATTTTTAAAACTCCACAAAAATTAAAAGCATCATTATGCTAGAATGATTAGAAATAAAAAGCCTTTTTTATTACAGCTCCCCCCAAAGCAGGGTTTTGTTTCGCCAAAAGACAGATCTCTGTGATTCTTTTGGTTTTGAATGTCCATAGAATTAGTCTAGGGTTAATGTAATCAAGTACCCCAGAACCTTGACTGCTGCGTGTTTCTTCATGGGATTAGGTTCAGCAAGACCCAGATGAAAATAGGGCTATGACATTGCAGCATACCTTATCTGTTAGGGTTACCCATGCTTATTTTGAGGGGCTTAGGCCAACATGACATATCTGGCTAGGGTTATGACCTTTTGAGTCCTGCACCATGTGGGGGTAGATTATGCACATCACATCTGCGGAGGAGGGCTGTGCACGTCACTTCCGTTTATGGTCATGTTCTGGTGATGTAATCAGCACGTGGCTTTGTTTACTTTGATGACATCACTGATCAAAACTACTGATAATTTTCATTAAAAAAAGATATACACATATTCTACTTATACCTTTGCCACGCAAACCTCTGTTCTGGCTTTGCTTTATTGTATTTCACTTGACCTTCAGTAAACTACCTTTGGCGCACGAACCTCAGTTCTGGCTTTGCTTTACTGTATTTTACTTGACCTTCAGTAAACTATACCATTGGTGTGCAAACCCCGGTTCTGGCTTTGCTTTACTGTATTTCACTTGACCTTCAGTAAACTATACTTTTGGCGTGCGAACCTCAGTTCTGACTTTTACTTTACTGTTAAACTATACCTTTGGTGCACAAACCTCAATTCTGGCTTTTGTTTAATGTTAAACTATACCATTGGCATGCGAACCTCTGTTCTGGTTTTGGTTTACTGTTAAACTATACCTTTGGCACGTGAACCCCGGTTCTGGCTTTGCTTTACTGTATTTCACTAGACCTTCATTAAACTATACGTTTGGCGCATGAACCTTAGTTCTGGCTTTACTTTATTGTATTTCACTTGACTTTCAGTAAACTATACCTTTGCTGCGCAAACATCTGTTCTGGCTTTGCTTTACTGTTAAACTATGCCTTTGGCGAGTGAACTTCAGTTCTGGTTTTGCTTTACTATATTTCACTTGACTTTCAGTAAACTATACCTTTGGCGCAATGTTAGGATATGTGCAGAGTAACCCTTGTATAAAAAGGATACGCACACAGAAAACGGTTTTTGAGAACAGTTATGAATAAATATACAACCACACAGAGTTGAACAAGTTGTGTTAATGTTTACTTGAAGAAAGAGCACAGTCCGATAAACAGTCCACGTCATACACGTTTTTAACAGTCCATAAATATCCAGTTATAAAGTCTTCTTACCGGTTTCACGTCTTTTACAGCAGACAAATATCAAACCATAATACAACAGAAAAACTTTGATATCAACAGAATATCAAAACAAACAGAGGTATTCTGTATCAGTCTGTAGTTAGTCAGTATAAGTATCAAGAGAAATAATCAATGAAAAAGAGAGTTAAACCATGATCTATAGCTCCCTCTTATGACAACTTGTAGCATAATTAATGAACCAGAACACAGCATAATACATTACAGTATTTTTCCTTAAAGCTACAAACATATATATTTGTAGTTTATGTATGGTCAACCGAACTACGTTATTTCCATATACATAACATGGCCGAACTTCAGTTCTGGATTTGCTTTATAGTATTTTACTTGACCTTCAGTAATCTATACTTTTGGCATGCAAACCTCTGTTCTGGATTTGTTTTATTGTATTTAACTTGACCATCAGTAAACTATACCTTTGGCACACGAACCTCTTTTCGGGCTTTGTTTTATTGTATTTCACTTCACCTTCATTAAACTATACCTTTGTCGCACGAATCTCAGTTCTAGCTTTGCTTTATTGTATTTCACTTGAACTTCAGTAAACTATACATTTGGCATGCAAACCTCTGTTCTGGCTTTGCTTTACTGTATTTCACTAGACCTTCAGTAAACTATACCTTTGGCATGCGAAACTCAGTTCTAACTTTGCTTTACTGTTAAACTATGCTCTTGGAGAGTGAACCTCAATTCTTGTTTTGTTTTATTGTATTTCTCTTGATCTTCAGTAAACTATACATTTGGTGCACAAACCTCAGCACTGGCTTTTGTTTACTGTGAAACTGTAACATTGGTGCACGAAACTCTGTTCTGGCTTTGCTTTACTGTTAAACTATACCTTTGGCTAGCTTACGTCAGTTCTGGTGTTGCTTTACTGTATTTCACTTCACCTTTAGTAAATTATACCTTTGGCACGCGAACCTCAGTTCTGACTTTGCTTTACTGTTAAACTATACCTTTGGCACGCGAACCTCAGTTCTGGCTTTGCTTTACTGTATTTCACTTGACTTTCAGTAAACTATACCTTTGGCGCACAAAACTCTGTTCTGACTTTTCTTTATTGTATTTCACTTGACCTTCAGTAAACTATACATTTGGTGCGCAAACCTCCGTTCTGGCTTTTCTTTACTGTTGAACTATACATTTGGCATGCGAACCTCAGTTCTGGCTTTGTTTTATTGTATTTCACTTGACGTTCAGTAAAATATACCTTTGGCGCTCAAGCTTCAGTTCTGTTTTTGCTTTATTGTATTTCACTTGACCTTCAGTAAGGTAAACCTTTGCCGTGCCAACCTCTGTTCAGGCTTTGCTTTACTGTTAAACTATACCTTTGGTGAGAAAACCTCAGTTCTGGCTTTCCTTTACTGTATTTCACTTGACCTTCAGTAAACTATATCTTTGGCGCGTGAACCTCAGTTGTGGCTTTGCTTTACTGTATTTCACTTGACGTTCAGTAAGCTATACCTTTGCCATGCCAAGCTCTGTTCTGACTTTGCTTTACTGTTAAACTGTACCTTTTCCGCACAAACCTCTGTTCTGGCTTTGCATTTATGTATTTCACTTGTCCTTCAGTAAACTGTACCTTTGCTGCACAAACG